AGCTGAAAATTTAGGGGAACGTTCCCCACCCACGTGTGACCCCGCAAATTCAAATTCAGCTTCCCCTTACAACATGCATGGCCCCGTGAAAGTTATTTACGGGTAAATTAATATCTCAGGAACCACGGAGTCTAGGAAGCTGAAATTTTAGGGTAATGACCCCTTGCCTACGCTCAACCTTGCCCATTCAAATTCAGCGTTCCCGCGCTCTCGGGTATCACCTATAGGCTAGTGAATGTTTTTACGGGTAAATTATTATCTCGGAAACCACGGGGTCTAGGGAGCTGAAATTTTAGGGTAATGACCCCCTGCCCATGCTCAACCTTGCCTATTTAAATTCAGCGTTCCCGCACTCTTGGGTATCACCCACGGTCTCGTGAAGATTTTGACAGGTAAACTATTTCTCGGGATAAAGACATTCATCCTTCAGGGTTTCGAATTCAGCTTTCACGCGCTGCTGCGTAAATTTTTTAACTATTTTCCAATTACTCCTTCAAGGTTTCGAAATCAGCTTTCATACGCTGGTGCGTGAAATTTTTAACTGTTTTTCAATGTTAGAACTATTTTTGCATAGACTAAAGTACAAAGCAGTGAAAATCATTAATAGGCAATCGTTCGATGGGTACTATTTTTGCATAGACTAAAGTACAAAGCAGTGAAAATCATTAGTAGGCAATCGTTCGATGGGCTAAATTGCACAAAACGTGATCGCATCGGTTAGTCTGGTGCGCGTTGCTATTTATTACGAATATTTCCAGAAAGTGGAACTAATTCTACTTCAGCCACTGCCGCTTCGGGATGAAAGAGACGCTGTTTGAGTATGAGGGGATTCTCCGTTCTGCTAAAATCCATATTTTGTCCATTTTTTTCTTATTTTTATCGCTTGGTGATTTATTTCTAAGTATTTTAGTGTCAGTTTTTAGATATATATATATACATATATATGTATATATATATATATGTATAGTTTTGATCTGCTAGTTGTTGGCCGAATTCAGCTCATTTCGAATGATTCTGTTGCTCTTGCACATGGATTTCTTGCGTCTTCTGAAATAGTTTTGTAGCCAACCCAATTTTTTCGAGTGAAACATAATTTTCACCTTTTTTGATTAACTTTTGCGCCTGTGTACTAAAAGTTTTTGCGTCTTTTTGACAGTCTTTTAGGCCTACTTCATAAAAGTCTTGCTTCATAGAAAAATACATTTTTTGAGTAATTTTTGAGCACTCCTTCGATAAAGTTTTGCTCACTGTTGGCTAAATTTTCCGCTCGTCAGATGCGATTTCGGCTTCACCGCGAACCCGGAAAAAAACCCCCAATTTCCTTTTTTCTATTTTCCTTTCTATTTTCCTATTCTCCACCTCTCTTTCTCCCCAGTCCTCGTCCTTGCTTTCCGCGGTTTTTGTCCCCCATCGCAAATAAATGTAAAATTTTATATTTATTTGAAAAATTTTATTTTTAAGGCGCATTTTCTCACTTATCTGTACTGTTGCAGCGTAAATGTCCGCTTGCCGAACCGCTTGATTACGAGAAATTTCTCACCGAG